GAGCTAACTTGACACTAACCTTTTCACGATGGAGATAGGCTACAGTGAAAAGGTTAGTGTCAAGTTAGCTCTGAAGCTCAGGGTGGATACCGTAGAACTACAAGAAAAAAATTCAGACTTAAAACCCTTTTTAGGCAAACACGGTATTTCTGTATTGCATCATTTTGAGAGATTGAAAACTTGATAGCAAGTGTATTAGGTAAAAGAGTAATCTAATCAAAGCCCTTGCGCTCCATGTAGCCAACTAACTGCATTGATTTTGAAGGATCCAAACAGTTGGATTGAATTTGTGTACGGTTTAAGGGAAAAAGACTCTCTATTTGGTGTAATTACTTAAACATGGTGATACCACAGGGCAGACAGAAGCTGTCATGTAGGTCTCCCAGAAGACAGTCAGAATTTTTCAAGTCTCACTGGTGGATATCTAATTTTTTCTGCTGGAAGGTGGTCAAAAATGAAGGATGAATCAACAAAGGTAATTTGGAAGACTATCAGAAATATCTCTGGATCCACCACAGATACCAACCCAACTTATTCCCAGATATGCCACTGAACTACATAAAAATATAATACTTGCATATTATTGCACATTTTAACATATTCTAGGACCTTGAATACTCAGACAAATACAAAGGCTACACCAGTACCAAGGATGGACCGAAGGCCTCGGACGATACCCTCGATGCAGTGAAGTCTTCCATTCTACAGTGCCAACCTCCTTTTGTTGAAGATTACACTTTTCATGGCAACCCCAAAGATGATAATCTTTTCAGTCGAATCATCAGAGGGGAAGTACAGCAATGGCGTATTTGGCAAAGTGAAGGTTTGTACATTACTAAGCAACAGATGGTTGAGCTGCTATAGCCCTCTTTAACGAGTTTATTAGAACAAACATGAACTTAAAAGTTGTGAAAATATCCTCAGGCCTGGACAGGTCTTATTATTAAAAATAAATTATTAGAAATGTTATAGACATAAGTCCTGGCATTGGAAACTGTGCCTGTGGTTTATGTCCCAGACTGCTAGTGAATGGGGTAAATGGGTGTGGTTAATGTCACAGACTGCTAGTGGATGGGGTAAATGGGAAATACAACCCTGTACAGGTACCCATTACATTTCGTGATGAGAGTTTTCTTTTGCTATTTAAATTTCTACTCCAAAATTATACTGGAAAAAAATGATTAATAATTTTCTCTTGATCTGTCTTCTACACAGACCATGTGGCTGTTTTGACTCCCTTTCCAAACACTCCGGGCTTTACTGTCCTGTTGCCACGGAAACGGTTATCAAGCAACATTCCTGCAATAGAAGAACAGGACTACGTTTCTTTAATGTTAGCAGCAAGGTGAGTGTAACCATGGTTACAGTAGTGAGTACTGTTGCCATGGAGACAACAGTGAGTGATACCATGGAAACAAGTCTTAAAAATGCTATGAAATACTTAAATAAATGAAAAAGATCCAAGTATTGGGAATAATGTAATTTTGACACTAACCCTAAACTTCCTAACAGGATAAATGAGCAATTTTGCCTCAAATATGTTTTTTTTTTTTTTTGTTAATTTGCAAAATGTTAATTCAAAATTTGTTGGTTTTGTCTCAGAAAGTAATTTGTTGTGAATTTGTGAAAATGAAAAATGAAAAAACTTCCAGCAGTAAACTTTGTGGAAAAATGAAGCATTTGAAATGTTTTTAATTGCCTTTGTCAATAAAAAAAAATAATAAAAAAATAAACTGAAATTTGGCCATTACATATATTTCACTTTCTTTCTTGAAGATGGAAGATGGACCAGCTGCTTGAGAATCATCTTCATACTTGTTATGTCATTCTTCAGAACATACATGTTCTTATACAGTGTAAAAATACAGTGTTCCATCAGTCAAAACAGTGTGGCCGTTGAATTTCCCTCCCTCTTTTCAGAAAAGTGGGTCAGTTGCTTCAGAAGGCTTTCAACACTCCCAATGTTGCCATGGTGTGTGAGGGGATGGCAGTAGATTATGNCAAATCAAAATAATGTACGTTTTGAATCCAGAAATTGGCGGCCATTTTGGATTTTTATACCCTGAACAAAATCTCAAAACAATTTAAATTATTCAGTCATACTTTTCATACCATGACCTGTGCAATAAATCCTCCATTAAGTAGTCAGAGATGTTTTATACTGAGAAAGGCTTGTTGACATATCAAAACAAAAAGCCTATTTTATGTGGTGGCCATCTTGGATTAGAGCCATCTGTGTTCAAATGTACAATTTTGTGATAAATTAACTGGTAAAAATTAAAAATATAGACTTCAACTTATTCAAATACATCAAAACATGTAAAATATTCCTAATTTTTGGTTAATAAAAAAAAAATTCAAATTTAGGTATTTGTATTTTTTCACAAAAAGTAAGGAAAATGGCCGCCATCTTGGATTCAGTCGCCATCTTGAAAAATGTAAAGTGCCTGAAAAATCAAAGAAGGCCAAAGTACTTGTGATCAGTGCAAATTTTGATAAGATTAAGTTGTTAAGTAACTTTTAAATCAATTTTTGTATTTACAGTTGACACATGAATTTACTGGCGGCCATCTTGGATTTGGCCTGTTTCCGGTACAAACGGACACTTTTTCAAGCCGGAAACAAGCAGAAATGAAAAATTCAGGTTCTAAACTACAAGAATCAATCCTAAAACCTTTGCCTGACGGGGGGTGCAGCCAAATTGGATTTTTTGGCCTTTGGCTCATGGACTATTTGGCGTCTTGTGGTGTGGTAAACGTTTGTGTCTTTCATCTGCAGTTTTAATTAAGTAGTACTTTAAAGATATATCCGTTTTTTTTTAAATATTTCACTCGTGACGGTCGTCTCATAACCTACTGGTCTTAGCTACCCTGTACATGTGCGTCAACCGGCTGTCGAGATGATGTGTGAACGTGAAGTGCGTACAATAGATTTAGTTTAATGTATATTAAAACAATGTACATGTACGATATTTAGAGCAGTTGTATTTTGCAGTTCAAGGAATATGCCAGAAGTTACCGATATGAGCAATTATGCCATTTCTTTTCTTAAATGACTCTACTAGTATTATAGAATTGGAGAGGGAGCTCGGCGAAATAATCTATTTTGACACTGTTAAAGATTTTGTAAAATTTACTTTCTGTTGTTTTTTACACAAGCCATGATCTGAAGTATTAGTGTCATTCATCTTTCAATGCCCCTAGGGTACGTTGACGACGGATTCTGTCACACCTTTTAGTTTTTGCCGTCTTTTTTTTTTTTTTTTTTTTTTTTTTTGATTTGGAGTTCTTAACCAATTGGACATAGTTGAACAATGACTGACAAACTGTCATAATTTGTAATTATGTCAACATTTGTGACTTGCCCTTTCATATTTTGGTTAAGCATAGCGCAGAGAGCCATTTCACTGTTGGACTTATATTTGCTAATTGCGTAGCTTGGCAGAGTAGTCAATTTGTCTCATTTTGAAAATTGTGGTGACTTTCTCTTTCTTTTCATGTGGTGATTGACTAAGCCAAGTATCCCCAAGGACAAGTGTAAAAAGGAGTTTCTGAATCCCCACAGACAACGTCATACAGGTCGTTAAGAGGGTGTGGACTGCAGGTTGAACATAAGGTGTAAGCAGCTTATAGCTTGTAATATCTCATGTGACAGTATGCATGCTTGTTTCATAATTGCATCGATTGAAAAATACACCTTTAGTGGTGATTGCATGCGTCTAACAAACGCGTGTCACTGCATAAGTGGGGGTAAAAATAGAAAAGTAAGTAAAATCATAACTTGATGAAGATACTTTTTATACACATAATTAATGCACACTGACGGATTATTGGTGAATGAATATCTGAGCGGTAATGTTTGAAACATCGTGAATATCTTAAAATCTATCATTAAAATAGTATCTTACAAAATGCATAAATTTGAAAATCTGATTATATAATTACATTCAGATAATACGATAAATCAAAAGAAATTAGATCGGTTATCATGAAATATCAATAATGGAAATTACCAGGAAAATTTGTGTTACAGATATGCAATGTGAAAAGTTATAAGAGACAATTACATAAAATATAAAATGATCATAAATTAAATTGTTATATTAAAAATTTATATAATATACATCAATTAAATTGTTCTTTCAAACGACAGAAAATACCAACTACGTATTAATTAACACTCATTTTTACAGAAATCAATTTCACGGATAGAGTATTATATATATTCAAATCATGACTACTTCTTTTGAAATAAATTTGCAATTGCTATAAGGTATTCATCTCGACAAACCCAACAGCTTCGCAGGTTTATTTCACATTTCATTAAAAGATGCCTCAACCAAAGCATTCAGATAAGTCACAAAATTTGAAAAGTTTACCAATTGCAACAATACAGCCTAACCTTCAGACCAACTTACACAATCATAAATAGTTTAAAGGGATAATAACTCTTCGTATGAGATCTATATTTCACAATAAAAACATTGTGAATAACTCATAGAAATATAATATATTCTGTTTTACCACAAAAACGGCAGTCATAGCTATTATTCTGATATCTGAGCTCGTCTTTAGACCATGTGACTGCCATTGATGGCTGTACTCTGTTAAAATCTCTTAAGAGATTTTAACAAAAAACCAAACTTCTTAGAAAAAAACCAGGGACTAACTTTGAATGTAAAAATGGATTCAATAACCATTGGTAAGTATGGGAAAATTGTTGTTTACTTCAGGAAAATTCATTTTTTGGCCGAAACGAAGAGTTATTATCCCTTTAAGTATCTAGCCCTGCATTTACAAAACTAAAAGCTGAATGAAGCATTAAAGTTAACAATCGACAAATCGGAAATAAAATGAATATTCTACAATTAAAACATGACATTTTAGAAAATACACTTATCTTTTTGATGTACATTGATTGTTCATATATATTCTATAATCGCGTATCTTCCTGTTCTTCTCTTGCCTCCATCCTTTGCCTCCCCAATGCCGGTTGACTAGTGGACCCAACCCCTGTCTGTACAAAAAAACGCTCAACTTTCTTCCACAAAGGCCCTAAACAAATATGAATAAAGGCACATACGATGGGCCGCATGTTAAGCACAACTAACTGCACCCACTGCGCAGCGTAATCAGACACCGGGTTGTTCTTTAAGTGCAAGATACACGAGACTGTGAACGGGAACCAGCGTATGGCATCGGATAAGGCAATTTCCAAAAAGCAGCACATACTGCGAAAATCGGTTTGGGATGACGGAGATCTCAGAGAATACAACAGATACATAAAAACTCCTGCGAAAGTAGTTAAAGAAATTACAGACATTGATAGATATGTGATTTCAATCGTTAAATAATTATACTGTATTTCAGTCATAAGACTGCTTAACATGAAAGGATAACAGGTACCAGTATGGATTTGTAGCTCCATGGACAAAAGAACACTAAAGGTTACTGACATGATGAGGACAACAACTATGCCAACGCACACTATGCGCTTTAACACATGTGCTTTCTCGATTCCAGCGGCTCGTAATATAATTGCCTGTATAGCAGCAAAAAATACTATTATAGGAACACCAACCTGAGGAAAAATGTAGAAAAAAGATGCAACGTGACACGATGGGCTCCTCCGCCAGGAATTAGACAGGCTGGAATAAGGATCTGCCATCCACATACTGTTAAGATATATTATCGCAACTGGTATAATCGTTTGCACTTCAATGACATTCAATGCAACAGCAACTTCTTTCATCCGAAACAGTCCTTCAAGCCTAAAATACGATTTAAGCAATCCTAACGACGACACCACAGAAAGAAGACCCATACCAAAACACGAGTACTTAATTACTTTATCCATAAACATATCTGAACACGATGCAAAAAAATCAACATGAGACTGACATAAATTTGTCTGATGAAACATGCAGCAGATGCTGAACGAATCTGCAATTATAACGTCGACATCACTTGGTGCCTCGTCCTGTTTGACTTCCAACGGGTTTCCAGACAGATCAATCGCCCTCACTTTGTGCCAACCACAAAACAACCAGCCATTAAATGTCTGGACAAAGTTTCTCGATATGTTTAAAACGTTAACGGAGACGTTATAAAATGAACAGTTTTCCAGGACAAACAGTAGACCAGCTGACAGATCAAGATGCTGCAAAGCGGGAAGATTGTGGAAACAATGCTGAGGAACGGAAGTTATTGGGTTGTTGCTTATGTTCAGCACTTGAAGAGATATCATATTGGAAAATGAACCACTTCGGATGATGCTGATGCTGTTTTTTGAGAGATCAATTCTTCGTAGATTGACAGTGTCTTGAAATATAGTTTTATGAACTTCGACCAGTGAGTTGTTTGATAAGTCAAGATATAGCAGTCGCGTGCAGTTATCCAATATGACCTCTGATATATGATTATCTTTTAAAATGAGACTCCTTACCATATCTCTTCCTATTATAACAGGCGCCTCAGTTAATCTACTCTGATTAGAATTTGGTGACCTCTTGAATACTAATCCAGGGCAAATTACCGAAAACCCTTCACAAAAGCACTCCGGTGGACACTGAAAACCATAGAATACTTCATCATCTCGCAGTTTACATTGAGGGAATCCGTCCCGCACCTGTGTCTGTGGCAAGCAATTGTTCTGCCCCCGACACCTGTACATACCTGGGCAGGAGTAGCTGTTACAGGCTATTTCATCACTGCCATCATGACAGTCTTTGACCCCGTCGCAAACTGATCTAGCAGGTATGCAGTACGACGACGGGCATTGGTGATATAAATCTGTGGGACATGTGAACCCGTGGCATAATGGCGACGAGTCAAGAAAAATAGCTTTAGTAGCCAGTCTAACGTATTTTAAATTGAGGCGAGACACGTTTTGTTTAAGGTGCTTCCCAGTCCTGCAGGTTGATAGGATGTCGTATTTATTGCTTTCGTAAAAGCAAGACGCGTTCCCATAGAACACCTGAGCATTTCTATAATTTTTGCCGGATGTAGTCTCACG